ACTAGCTATGTGTTGTCTAAATTGCATAGCTTAAGCAGCAGCAGCAGCAGCAGCAGCAGCTGCAGTAAACGGCCAGGGCCGTTGTACTAGTAGTAGGTCTAGATCTGTTTCGTCCACCGTCCGCTACTTTATGACGACGGCCCAAATCGCGGCCCTAGTGACGACCAGTACAAATTGTACCTACCCCCCATCCGCATCCCCTGAGCAAGCTTTTGATAGTAGAAATACTAGCAGTAGTAACAATTTCTTATCATCTCTATCTATCCATGCTGTTATTTTTAGTTAATGTCTCCCGCCAATGCCTCGTGCTTGTCTCTGATACTTTTTGAACTGTTGTTGTGCCCGCTGTAACCACTGCCGTAACAATTGCATTGCGTCTGTTATCATCGTTAGGTTGAGACGGGTGCATTTTTGCGTAAATCGTTCAATTTTATATATATGTTATATAGAGCAATAGTAATCATAGCAGTCGCATTATCTTTGTCAATTGTAGGTCGCAGAAAGGGAGGGTTGGCGATACCGTTGCAATGTGCTAATGTGACTGCACAGCATCCGCAACAGAGGCGGCCTTGTCGTCGAATAATTGGAAGTGGCCGAGAAATGTAAGGACGCATTTCTTGTCCCGTTTACGACTGCTTGCGCCGGGCAGCTCTGATCCTGATGACAATGACTATGATTGGAGCCGTATTTTCGACTTAATCTCCTCATGGCTTTTCATGCTACCCGTCACATCTGACATGCTCAACTCAGTAACTATTCTTTACCACTAGAAACGTCTACTTTTGTTTCTGACACTGCGTTGATCCGATCGGATCCGTGCCAAGCCACTAAGTCAACCCCAGGCACTATAAGTATATTCGTATGAGCCATCCCATGGCAGGGTATGACGCAAGCTAGGGATAACAAATCAGTCCACTTTGTTACAAGTGGCTCCTTGAGGTCTCAGACGGTCGGTCTCTGGCGAGCTTGACTTGGGATATCGTAGCTTGCCTGGCCAGCAGACAGGCAAGAAAGGGACCGCGCGGGCATCATCATCAACTTTATCTGTTGACTCTCTGCTCCCTCCTACCGTTGAAGAGAAATGCAAACCTTTTAAATAATCAGCGGCAGACCCATCAGCGTCGCGGGTGTCTCTCTTTGTAGCCGTAAGCTCTTCGTCGCCATAGATGTTCATCGAAAGCGAGGAAAAAGGAGAAAGTTACTGAGTAATCTATTCGCGGCGCTGGTCTATCGCCCCCCCACAAAACATCTTTGACTCCCCAATAACTGCCGTAGCGGATGTTCATCTTGCATGTTGTCGTATTGTTGTTGCCGTTTTTTTTGCTGTTGTCTGGTGTGTTTGCGTTTATCTCTGTGTACGTGTTTGAGTCACAGCATTCATTGCTCTGTAAGCCGCTACGCGTCTGGGCATTTGGTTTAGCGTTCAGCAAAGAGCGCTGTTGCAGGGTAGACACTGGTGCGAAGAATTTTGAGCTTTTCCCGATGTACAAGATTATCGAAGCAGTGAACCATTGGATCCCGTCCGACATCTTTGTTGACATCGTATCCACAACAGCGGAAAACGGCCGGACGGGTTGGTCCTGTCATCGTAAGTGCTGGACAGAAACCTACTTGGAGGAACGCCTATTCTCCCCTTGTATCTGCAGCGTGCCCATACGCATACACACACATTCACACTTAACCGAGCACAGTTACGTAACGCAGTTCGATCGATTTCAAACGTAAAAAATATAGTACGTCATATTACTTGGCGACGGCGACGGAACATCCGCTCTGTTTCTCTGTCTCCATGTGCGTACCTGTACCGTTTTTTCTGTTTATGATACGCGGACAGCTAGCCATTATCTCCTCAGGGCTGGGTGCGGGCGCGCGCGCGCGCGCGCGCGTGTGTGTTATTATTTCAGCCGCACTCCGCCAACGTACATGCCGTCTGCTGACCTCGCCCCCTGACTGAAGCAGATTAATAAAAAGATACATTTTATTTGGGTAAAGATTGTGGTGCCCGCTAGCGGTTACTGTTCGACCTGGCGTGGAACAACCCGCGCAGTGACATATATGACGCTGCTATTGACAGTTTGCTTAACTGTAGGATATTAGTGCTGCTATAACCGATGTATAATTTAGTATGTCTTCTTTTTAGCGAGCTACCTCATGATGAGGTCAAGACGTTCCTTCATCGTGTAGTGTATTTTGCTTTAGAGCATGCAAATGAGTATGTAGACTTGGCCGGCCTCTGTTTTTAGGTGCGTGCTAAATACTATCGTAAGGGTCAGCCAGTAGACTGATGGCCATATTCAAAGTGCTCTTGTTACTGTTTTAACATTTGTAATGTTTATTGTTATAGAATTGCGAACAGACGAAATAAGGCAAACTGCCCAAGTACAACTGACCGATATTAGAACGAGTGTACACAAGATATGTTAACGTGTACACACACGGGCACTAAAATACATATAACCGCATACGCAGTGCATTGTACATGCAGTCTCGTCCGCAAAATGTCCTAATTAGCACCTACTAAAATACTTTGTGTGAATATAAACCACGCTATCAGTTGTCATACGATCGACGTGCTGTTGTGGCAGTCTTTTTATGATATGATTACCATATATATATATATATATATCTATATAGGGTATATGTATATATACCTATATGAAATCATAATTCGAAACGACGCATGAACCGTACACGTTTCGACGAAGGTCCTATCGCTCATATCAGAGATAGTTCAGGCGATTTTTGAGCTCGATGACACGAACGCTAATAATAATGTATCAATGTACACTACGTTCGATGCTAAAGATAGTAAACGCGTAGAGAAAACGGCTAAAAAAAGAAAAAATAAAGCTATGTTTTTTGTTGTAGCACAACATTGTACAATGTGGTTGATATTTGCAGCAGTGATGCTATGCCATGTATTGCTGCTTAATTTTTGCACGATTTTGTTGTTCATTGTTGCTGGCACATAATATGCTCCATCGTTGGAACCGTTGTTAGTTCTACTGCCGTTGCATTGAGTTTACAGCGTCGAGCCGATCATCTGGCTGTCGATGGCGGGATTAATGTCGATAACGAGAAATAAACGAGGCTTTCCTTGGACTATGCGATACTGATCGTTCGTTGCGAGTTTTTGGGTAGAACCTTCCTGCTAAGTACTTTTTCATCCACTGTCTCCTTCAATCTACTGTTTGTCGTAGCTTGTTTCCTATTGTTCCGTCCTGGTCCTTTTGTTCTGCTCTTTACCTAATTGCTTGATTTCTATTCGGTTCGTTAACAGCCAGTGATCGCCGTTGCGACCGCTACCTCAATTCGAGAATGAACAATATCAGTTCGTATGTGTGTACATGTAATAATGAAATCTGCGTGAAGACTATAGTCGGAAGCTTCTAGGAAAAAACTCACTCTGCATATTGCGTTGAATGGAATTGCCACCAGCGGGCGCCAGCCATCAATTTGTCGTGCTATAGCAAATACTTATGTTCCTGGGGTAGCTGGGAAAACAAAGTTGATCAGAATAACTAACTTCTCACATGTTCTTCCTAACAGAATCTCTTGGCTCGGTCGCTGTTAACGAAGTGTCGGCTGTCGAACAACACTGGACGGTGACAAAAGAAGGGCGTGCATTTACTGAGTTCGGTCAGCAAAGCACGAGGGGGCATTGATATCACTTTGGAGGATACCGTTGTCGGTGCTTGTCTAATGAACGAGGCCATTGTTATTGCTCGGATTGATCGCATGTGTCTGCCACTGTCGTTTTTGGTCCTTCTACAACCGATCACAAATCGTACATGTACTACGTCGCGATAAAATAGAAGGAGGACACTAGTAGGTACGTATATAGGTACGAGGTGGAAGCTATGCTATACAGGACGGCAATTGTCCAGCATTTGCCAAATTTTCTTAAAGATTGTCCGGAGAAAAGTGGTTGGAGCTTGCAGGACAAAATCTGTTCGCTCTAACCTTGTGAGGCATACACAAAACGGGAAAATTTCTGTATGCGTAGATCAATTTTTTTAACGACGAATATATAGTACAGATAACCGAAGTGTAGCATTTAGCAGAGTGCAATTTAATAACAGCGGTTTCTTACGGTTAGATACTATAGTGCGCGTACCTTCGAGCCCAAATACATAGGTGAGAACTTCAGACGGGATTCGGTTTTTTTTTTCTATGTAGCCCAGTTATAATGACCCTGCCTCTTATTTAATTAGCGCTCATAACGTAGGATCAAATGAGCATAGTTTTATTACCTTGCGATGCTAATTCCAGCAGAGCTAGCTGGTTCATGTCCATTGATTACTATTTCGAATTGGTAGAATTTATAGAGAATAGGTTGGTCACAAAAATGCCCTTCGGTTCTTGTTATTATTATGAATAGTAATACCAATAATCGTGAAAATAATAGTGAAAGATCTATTTCTTTTAATAGGGCTCAAAACACCTGCTTGACAGTATGGCTTTCAAATACGCAAACTTTTTTCTATGCTAGAGTATCTTAATCATGATCTTAAACCCTATAACTTTGAATTTCTGATCAAAAACTTATCGTAACGTAAAATTACTCGTCGTTTAATTTCAGGGCCGGCTTGTCTAACGCTGATTTCTTTGGGAGCTGTTTATGCATTCAACAAATTAAACGTTTTCTTTACCTTTCTCTAGAGCGGTTAAAGCTGAAGCGGAGGTCGATGACGCTACTACATTCAACAACGCTACTACAAGCTTTTCCGCGTTCAGCGGCGAACTTCGTTTGAACGCGTTTACGTTTTCATCCGTTTCATTGAAATCAATTTTTTCTCACTGTGACCGTTGCACTGTGACTGACCATCGCCGATGCGTCTGGTTGACGCGTGGCCGCAAACCAGCAACAAGCGTCGAGGACTTAAACGCTGCAAGGTCTATCTATGCAACAATGGTTGCTAACCTGACTTCGTTTCTATCACCCACGAAGAATAAGACTGGTAAGCCACGAAGCATTGCAGCTCCCGTTGTCTTAGCCGTAACGATCATTCTGTTTTGTTTCGTTGCAGTTATCGTGCCGCAGCTCGTCCTCGATCAACGACAACATCAATATGATTAATTGCGATATATTTGAATGCGATGCCGGTGTCGGCGAACGATTTCGTAACGGTCCACGAAACGAAGCTACGAGCAAAACTTACCAATCACGCCACGTACACCAAAAGTAAAACAAAAATAGAAAATAAGAGAAGGAGCATATACGTCAGGGTGCGTACGCCTGATTTGGGGGGATTTACACGTGTGGTAGTGGACAAATAGGACGAATGTTTGCAATGACGTTCTTGCTGCTGCCGCTGATGACATTGCTAAACCTATTCTACGCCGTCCAATGTAGCACCGAAATTTCGTAGAGGATTTTGCCTATCGAACTGTGAAGTGTATTAAATCGCCGTTAGTCAAAGGAGTAGCAGCACTATCATACCGATGATACATGTACGGGGCGGTGTTATTTATGTAGGCGTCAACTGCCGATCGAAGCGGCGAACAAAGCAGGATTTTTTAACTGCTGGCCAGTGTCGAACAGAAAAGGCTTTCGAAGGCAGGGATCACCTTATTGCCAAGCAAAGGTTGGCCATGTTTAGTATATGTGTTTGTTCTCCTATATACCTGGTCTCCTATATATCTCTACGCACAGGCTATAACTGTTCGTTCTTACGCCCACTCATGTACAGTAGAGACTGGAAAGGTGATGAGAATACGTTTCTACTGTACAGAGGCGGTGGCTGTTCCTGCTCCTATCATTGCTATCCCAACGATTCAGCTGCTCAGCTCATCTGCGCGAGCCATCACAGATTGCTAGTCGCTGTATGGCACAATTTCTACGGACGCTGCCCATTTGGGTGCCCGCCAAATACCCGAAAAGTGCAAAAGAAAGTGTTGAATGTTTGGGTTCGTTGCGTCTCACTAGCGTCTGTGCGGTTTTGCTGTATTCACTAGTCGCGCGCGCACCGTAGCGGCGTCTCTAGAAGCGGGCTCGTTTTGTATGTGACTAGTGGGCTTGTTGGTTGGTTGACGTCCGTTCGTTCCAGCATTGTGGAGGCAAGGGCAAAAAGGTTTCGGCAGTTGCCTTCGAAGGATTGGACATGGTCCGCGCACCGGCCAGCGGGCAGCGGGCATCGGACGCATCGTTAAATCATCGATGAATGCCATGGTCGGCTGCGCCTGTCTATGCATCGGCTGATACAGCCTCCGCGGCCGCCCTTGTGTTGTTGTTGTTGTTGTTGTTGTTGTTTCCACTGTCGTTGTTATTGTGATGTGTTGGATGCGGGAACAGCGAGAGGAGAGCAAGCATCCTACAGGAACTAACGCTACTATCGGACTGCGACGAAAGATCTGGCCAGCGGGCCATGTCCGTTCACTGTTGCTGCTGCTACTGTCGCTGCTGCATTGCATTGCATTGCAGTGCAGTGCTGGGTGAAAGGGGCCTTTCCGCGCTGGTCGAGAGCAAGGGATGGCGCGCAAGAGACAACGTTTGTCAGACCAGCCCGCCTGGACTGGCTGGCTTACTGGCGGACTGGTGCCTGGCGGTTCGTTTAGCCGTCGCTACCGAAGGAGACGGCTGCAGCGAGACAGCTGCCTATGTCCTCGCTGCTATTGGTGTTGTATTCTCGCTGCGTGTAGGGGTATTTAACGGACCGGGCAACTGGTGCCAGATCAGTGTGCAGTGTGTTGTGTGTGTACCTTGTCGACCGTCGGATACAACGGATAAACCGGACAGCCATCATGAGGGTCTTCGGCGGACTCTTGGCGCTTGTTGGCGCCACTGCAGTGGCGCACGCTGGTGGCCACGGCTGGGAGCCGCACGGCCACGTGCATGAAGTGGTTAAGTACGTGCACAAGATTGTGCCTGTGCCCAAGCCCATCCCAGTGCCGAAACCGTTCCCTGTGCACAAGTACGTACCGATTCCACATCTCATCCATGTACCTAAGCCAGTGCCGGTGCCCGTTAAGGTGCCAGTGGTAAAGAAGATCCCGAAGATCGTGCACGTGCCGAAGGTCGTGCCAGTGCCAAAGCCGGTCCCTGTCCCACATCATGTGCCAGTCCCGGTGCCTGTGCCCGTTTACAAGCATGTCCCAGTGCCCGTCTACAAGCACGTCCCCGTCCCTGTCGTGAAGCACGTTCCCGTGCCTGTCAAGGTGCCCAAATTTATTCCCGTGCCAGTGCACAAGATCATCAAGGTGCCTAAACCAATTGCCGTCCCAGTGAAAGTGCCCGTCTTCAAGGAGGTCATTGTCAAGAAGCCCGTTGAGGTTGGAGTACCCGTTTACATTAAGAAGAAGAAGATTGAGCATCACGGATGGTAAACTGCTTGTGAGAAGCATCACGTCTAATGGGAAACGAAACACGACAATAACGATAATATGCGGATTATTTACTGCCAATATGTACTATGCACTAACGAGTATCAAACCGCCAAAAAAGGGGCACGTGCCCCTTCTCCAAAATCCTCCTATGACTGCTTGCGAAAGTACAATGAGATCGTTGGTGCACGAATCGCGCGCTTCCGCACCGGAATTTACCCTCGAATTAAGTGGCGTGGCGTGTGCGCGATGTCCTTAATGGGATGAATTTATGTTACATCAGGATTGTCCTGACGAGAAGTAGGGAAGCAAGGAGAATCAACGTAAACGATGTCTTTCACCTATGTCCTTCAAAATCAGTAGGAACCCTAAGCTACGTCCTACCACATCGAAGTTGAAACCTACAGACGGAGAAACACCATAATGTCAAAAGTGAAACCAACCATACGAACGGGAATGAATATCGAAACGAGATCATAGAGATATGCCGTCCAACATCGATAGACCAAACAGATAAAGATAGAAAAAATCAAACGCGAAAGAAATATCATAATAAATAAGAAATGGCGGTCATTTCATTTATGTTACGGTTGCTGGATTCAACTGTACGCCAACCAAATAGTCCAAATCATGTAAATACTGTTGTAACTGTATATAGTCTCATAGTGAGCGTAATGTATTTCGTAATAAATGTCTGCATCGAAAAAAACACAAGATGTTTGTGCTAACGTTTTTATTAATGTCATTGTTTAACTATTGTGATTAAGCTTCTAATGATTATTGCTTTGAAGTGTGTCCCTGCCCGCACGTGAGGGTGTCTATCTGTACCCGGTGAAAGTGAAGCCGTCTGTGTGCATTGTTTGTGTGCCTATTATAATTGTTATGACCATTGCGTTCTTTTTGTTTTCGTTGAACATGCTGCCGAGGCTATTTGCGGAAGTACTGCTTTTTTTGGTTGATGCTATGACGCTGTTTAAGAAGCGCTCAAAATTAGCTGGAAGCAACCGGAAGCTGTACGATCAATAGTCATTCGACAAGTGTTCGTTGTGTCCTATGTTTATCCTGGCGTATATATATGCCTTTTGTGCCTTTGAACCTATGCATGTCCGTCTGAGACGTGTGCTTCTTCTGGTTAGGGACAAGTGCCACTAACACCTACCTATTGATCGGTTTGGCTTGCTACAGGCCGAAAGGCATACGTAAATTCTTATCTTTTGTATATCACCTACCCTCTACGATTCAAAGATTCGACTATGTGCAGGCAGTAGTAAGAGAATCAATGAAGTGTCTTCATTTCCATTTGTTCTATTCAATATTCGCTGTTGTACGCTTCCGTTTAAGTAAATGCTAGTTACTGCTGGACGTGCGTGTGAATGTTATTAGCAGAACATTATTCGAAACAAGCACAATGCTTTGTTGACATTTGTGTTCGTAGAAGTAATAGCAGTAGTAGTACTGGCGGCGGTTGTGCTATACGTACGCAAGGTATTTGTTTTTCGCCGACGTCACGTTGCCCCCGGGCACTTTTTCCTTGTTACCTCTCGGAAATTTGCCACTCCGTCGTCTCGCTAAATCAAATGAACTTCTCGTATGTTTTACGGCAACTGAACGCCGCGCGATCGGCAGCCATGTTCCTTTAGGTTAGCTTGGCTGAGACAGAGATGACGACGAAATCTAACAACATGAATTAGCATTAGGAACAAATAATAATGAAAGTAATAAATAATACCAGTGGCACTGCAAGTACGACGCGCGTGTCCTGTTCCCAGCACATCAGCCGTTATAACATTTAAAAAAAAGAAAACAAATAACTAGCAAAAGAAAACGAGTACGCGTCAACGTCGTCATGTTGGCAATAATAGATTAACTAATATATAGTGAAGCGGATGGACGATGGAGAAAACGTTAAAGGTTGTCGTAACCTAGGAGGTAGTTCTAATCTCTACCAGCTGCAATACACAGATGACTGCGATAGCGTAACGTTTTTGGTGTTTAATGGGGTACAGCCTGCTCAAGAAGATATAACCTAATGATTCCTTGCTGTTGCTGTTGCTACAATGGCGTGTCCACCGATTGAAAAATATGGCCGCCAACCAGACACTTAAAACTGACACTATATCGCATACACTTTTCAGATAGTACTGCCCCGACCCCCTAGCCCTGCACGGCGTAAACTTTATCAAGAACCACTGTCAATTCAATATATATATATATATATATATATATATATATATATATATATATATATATAACGTATGCTATTGAGTTTCGGATGGCTGAAGGGCGCTCGATGCGACAGCAGGTGTCAGCCGATTTGCGCATTCATACAAATTTTGGCTACTTATTAAAAATCGTTCCCTTCGCCCTATTCTTCTCTTCCGACAAAACCTCCAGTTACAACCGATCCGACGAATCGGCGCCTCAATAGCTGGTCAACAGCACACCGAATTGGCAGCCAGCGGGTCAGCGCACACAGATCGTTTTTTATCTTTCTTTTGTGTGTTCCCTTGAAAATATATCATCTGATGCCGCGGCTAGAACACAACGTTAGCTGCCCCTGACGGCGGTTATTTCTACCTTTGCTACGACAATGACCACTGCTAAGATCGCTACCGCCATCGCTATTACACAGCTGCGACTACGGTTCGGCAACACAACAATTTATCCATCCATCCACCCATCCACGGAGAGAAACCGTAGCTTCGCTCCGCTCCGCTCCGCTCTAATATGAAATCGACCGAGCAATCCTACCAGCAACAACGACGTGCCAGTCCCCCAGTTTTCTTCTTACGAGCCGCTGATCCAATTCCTACGAGCGGGCAGCAATACATTCACATCATTTGTTTGCGTGTGTGGGGGGTGTCTGGCTGGGGTTTACGTTTGCGCAAACGTAAAATTTGCCGAGGGGAAGAAATTACGTGCGCCGAACACAAATCGCCACGCAAAATGCTGTTTAATAGTGAAATCTAGCTTTAGTATGCTTCTGTGGTAATAATGGATCCGAATGCAAGTGATACGTATTGCATGGCGCGCAAAACGTGTGATATAATTTTTGGTGACGCAGCCTAGGTCCTATAAGCCAGCCCCATTAGGCCAACTCCGCGGAAAGGCTGCCATTATGAAAGAAATGACAGTTTTTTAGGGCGCGCGCGCCTGGTGAAAGAATCATTTAAACGAAAGCTGATGGAAATGTCATAATGAAATTAACAACATCAGACAAAGTCAATCTTTTCTGACGACCTATTGTACAAATAGGCTAAGGGTCAACTATAAAAAATTTCATTTTACCTTTGATGCGACACAACGGCTAGGCCAACTTCCAAGGAGCAGAGCTGTCTAGATTGTCTTCCAAGGTGGACTGTCGGAAGGGACACCGCTAATTATATATAGCAGAATCGTGTCGAAAGACATCCACAAACAAAGTAATTAGCTTTCACGTAACGTAAGAATAAAGTGTAACTCACCTATATTGACGTGTCTATGGTGAATAGCACCGGCTTTCTACTATGCTGAATTATCTATACTTTTGTTATCTATAGAATAACATATGCGTGTCTTTGCGATGCGCGTATCTGCGTGCGTATGAGCAGGAGTCAAGCCGTAGCCCTTTTTTACTCCTGCAGCAGCGATCGTTGTTTTTACTTTGGTGTTCAGTCGATCACACAAACAAGTCCAGGCGACTTTTGATGAATAGACAAACGAAGCATTATTTTTAGTTGTCTCGGCCGAAAGAGACGTAGCTAATGACGGCATAAACATACACAAAAACTGATTTTATGAGACGTCACGCCACAGAGAGGAAATGCCGACCCAAGTAGGCTATCTAATTAATCTGTATTGGGTATGTGTTTATAATATGCGTTGATACATACACGCACGCTGTCCTTGTACCGTGTTAAATAAATATGGCCAGTAACCATAGAGGAGTACACAAACGAATCAACCGGGCAACTCTAAGAGAGGCCGCTGTCAATACGACGCTATTTTTTGCGACCGTATATGGCAACCGAATATACGTATTTTATTGATTAACTAAGCTGAAAGTCATCAGTCTCTGACGTTATAATTTACTTTACATTTTTATATATTATCGACAGGACGCCACGCTGGGAGTCGTAACCTGTGTCGTTGAGCTCCTACCTAGTTGGCAGCTGAGATCGAATCTTCTGATTTGCATACGGTCGCTTGACGCTAGGCGTATACAGATAACCGATCACAGACACCATTTTCTTTCGTGTCTTGTCGTTATTCTAGCATTACCGTTCCTAGTGACGAGTTAACCTACGAATTGTGACGGCTATAAACTACTATGGTTCTGTATGTTGTGGCTATTGTTGATTAAAGCACATTCAATGACAGCTCTGCGGTACTGGTTATTTCAATTTGTCCTATCAGCTCTGCGGCTGCTGATCACCGTTATGTAATAATCAATGCATATTGACTTCGTTAGCATTGCAACCATCATTATCATCGTAACAATTTTGTCATTGTTGTCGGATCAATCGAAAAGAACGTTGTAGTACGTACGATACTTCACCCAATTTTGCAGTGCCAGCGGCGCCATTGCAGTCATTCAAGGAGCGCGCGCGGTCACTGCTAATGCTGCTATGTGGGCATACGATCCATCGGAGCGGCAAACCATCAGGCACGACAGCCCCCAAGCCGCCCACCGCTTTTGCCCGCCCCTCCCTCCCTCCATCCATCAAAAATTCGTCTACAACTCGCTCAGACGAAAAAAAAAAACATTTGCAAAATGATCGAAACAAAGCGGATAGACTAACCGGAAAAAATCAAGGAGAAGCGACGAGTTGGCAGCGCTAGCTGAAGACCCATGCAAACCGTTGCTTCAAAACGTTGCAGGAAAGGCCAATTAAAGATATCGTCGGGTGAGACTATTAGTACTGAGGGGGCTGACTTTTCGATACAGCGTAAGAAGAAGGAAGACTGTGAAAGTTTTTGCGCAATACCCATAGTGGTCGCGACTAACGCTGGCCATGATTTGTAGCATAGCGATGGACAGCATTGTTCCGCTGAAAGATGCTACATACACCACAGTGAAGGCCTACCTAAAAGACAGTCATTAATGTCCGAGGCTCAAAGGCCATGAAATTTGAAATCATAAAGAAACAACGCGATTTCTTTGCGGTTGTCCAGACATCCTGCCGTTGGGTAGCGAAAAAACCCAGGATAAAAAGTACATACTATTCAATCTTCCGTAAACTGATTAATGTGAGTGCATATCGGTGTCTCTCTGTTAATGTAGCAACGAGGATCAACAGAGCCATATCACTTACATTTGAGCACGTAAAATTGAAATTGGTATAGAAGTTTTGATCGCCAAGCGCAAAGCTATTATTATTATTATTGTTTTTTACCAAAAATCTAGTTATTCATAAAATAGTCATAAGCTGTCTTATGATTTGTGTTAGGATTATTTTACATATGAAGTATAAGCCCCGACAGGCACATATACTATACAATTTTCTTCCTATTTT